AAAATGCCTTCGGCATTTGAAAATAAGTGACTCTTTATTAGGCCCGAGAACTGTCGACAGTCTACGGTACTTGTACAAAAGTGAAAAATACAGTATTATATTTCAGACAATCATGTCTATTTAACTTATGAAAAATAGAAGCCAGAGAGTTTAAGAGCCTGTTTTCAAACTGGCACAAGTATCAGTTGCAAGCACAATCAGTAACGTAGCAATCAGGGAACATTCTCACTCAAAACTCACCTAATGTTACATTACTGTATTTGTGAATTATACCGTACATGTCAGAATTTGATTGACTTTGTCATTCAGCGACTACGCAATTATTTGACAAGATATTCTAAAACTATGGAACACTGTTTTGAACACTTCTTCAGATGCTCCAAAAACAAAAATTTAAGTGACCTTATTTTGGGAAATGCAGCGAACATTGAGCTTGCGATCTTACCAAGACACTGAGCTAAGAGTCTATGTACAACGACATCAGCATATCTTCTGATAGGTGAGGTGAAGTGGGTATAGAACGGCACATTTAGAGCATAGTGTCGGTAATCATTTTCATCGGCTATAAAACCAGTACAAAAATATTTTGCCATCTGAAAAATAGAAATTGGCAGATATTGAAATGATTGTGTAAAATTTTAAAAGTAAAAATGAAGAAGCTTGTCAGATATTCTATTTGTGTGTATATACTTGTATTTAAAAACTTTGCTGTATCATCGTAATAACTCTGTATTTTTGTTTTCTCAGTGTCATCTGTGCTTACTTGAGAAACATACATTTCGCCATCTTTTATTTTTATTTTCTTTATTGGCATGTTATCAAACTATCAATACGGATACAAGTTTAATAAAACAATTATTACACAGTATAAACCTGCATTTTTCCTATATTTGGAAATTCTGTCCAATTGGTTAAAAATCAACAAAGCAAAAATTAGCCACAAAAAAATACATACAAATTTGTAAAATATTTCACCAACAGAATTTTAGGTTATGTAATCAAATGTTCTGTTGTTTTTTATGACCAAACGAAATGAAGTTAGGTGACTATATATGGAATACAACTTTAGTCATAGTAGCCATATACATATGAACACAATGTATCCACTTACTTGCATGGGTTTGGAACATAGCTGAACCAATATTTGACTTCTAGATTTAGAGTAATCGTCATCAGCATAATATTTCTTTAGAGAAGACTGTAGAGAAATACAGAGAAAAATATGTATCAATACTTTTCTCAGGTGTTTAACTAAGAAAGGTTTCATTGTATACAAAAACTCTGTGAACTGAACACTTGTTTTAGTCCCTTTGGATGTTCAGCTTAGACAGGTTACATTGTATACAAAACCTCTGTGAACTGAACACTTTTTTCAGTCTATTTGGGTGTTCAGCTTAGGCAGGTTTCATTGTATACAAAACCTCTGTGAACTGAACCTTTTTTCAGTCCCTTTGGGTGTTCAGCTTAGACAGGTTACATTGTATACAAAACCTCTGTGAACTGAACACTTTTTTCAGTCTATTTGGGTGTTCAGCTTAGACAGGTTACATTGTAAACAAAACCTCTGTGAACTGAACACTTTTTTCAGTCTATTTGGGTGTTCAGCTTAGACAGGTTACATTGTAAACAAAACCTCTGTGAACTGAACACTTTTTTCAGTCCTTTTGAGTGTTCAGCTTAGACAGTTGAGCATTTATACTGATTGACATGTGACATATGGTGTGGATATTGACTATCATTTATCATCACTAATACAAATCCCATCATGCATTGCTGTTCAAAGTTGGCTTGTATGCAGTGGTAACACGACTAGAATAGGAAACAACTCAAAAGTCTGGTGTACATCTCAGATTAATACATCTCACAAAACTTGATTTTGAAACATAGTCCCTTTTTGATCATCAAACAAATAAACTTGCATGTGATTCACCAACTTGATGACACCCTAAGATGCTGAAGTATTAATCACAATCAAATTTCCAGAACTGCAGTGATGCTTGGCAATTAATAATAACACTTCAAATGGGAATATTTTGTGATGACTGTAACTGTTGCATTACATTACCGTCAGAGGCCTCATACAAATTTTTACCCAATAAATACAACTTTAATATTATTGAAATTACCTGAAATGTGAACACTCACTCACGACGACCGCCGCCCTTTGATCTGTCAATATTATTTCTAGAAGGTTATACTGGTACAGTCAAATCTGTGTATAGTGACCGCCCAAAGGACTTCATCAAAATGATTTTTATAGATAGGTGGTCTTCATATGGAGGTTCAATTTTTTCAATGGATCACCAACTCTTACATTGAACTTAATATTTGGCCAGAATGTGATGAAAAGGTACTGTTGCAGCGAAAACCCATTTATTTGAGTTAAACTTGAGAAAATTAAATATTATTCTACGAACGAACTACTAATAAAAGTGGAATCTTCAAAAATATTGCTGAAAAGGTGGTCACTATAAACATGTGGTCTTTATAGACATGTTGCTTATACATTATGCTTTGGGAATACCTAAAAGTGGTCACTATAGACAGGTGGTCTTCATATAGAGGTAGTCACTAACACAGGTTTGACTGTATAATGTTTAGGTCAAAGCTTACCTGAAGGTCACCTGCGGTGGCAGCATTAATATGCAAGCCCATACGTTTACATGTCACAACAACGTCATCAATCATCTTGGACTTTGGTGGTGGATGTCGTCTTAGTAAAGATTTGGTGGGGAATGACTTGTAAATCCTGTGTGCTACCGCCATGTTAGCAAGTAACATGAACTCTTCAACAAGCCTGCAAGAAAATACTATTGTTATACATCTGTTAGTGAATCACCATTCAGTATCTTACCTTATTGGGAAATGTTAGTTCCAAAAAAGGAATGAGGATGCAATGTTTCCAAGATGGCTGACAGAAGTATCTTACTATATTAGGAAATGCTATTTCCAAGATGGCTGACAGATGTAGCTTACCTTATTAAGAAATGCTGGTTCCAAAATGGCTAACAGATGTAGCTTACCTTATTAGGAAATGCTGGTTCCAAGATGGGTGACAGATGTAGCTTACCTTATTAGGAAATGCTGGTTCCAAATAATGAATAATGAATGATGCAATATTCCAATATGGTTGATAGATGTATCTCAACTTATTGAAAAAAAAGGCCAGATCCATTTAAGGAATGATGATCAATATTTCCAAGATGGCTGACAGATATATTTACCTTGTTCCAGCAAAAAAATAGGTCTGTGTATTTTTTTTTTATTTTTTTTTTTTTACAAAGTTTATAAACTTTTATTTGTGCTGTAACTCTCACCTGTTACTGTCCTTCTGTTCATAAACTGAACATCCATTGGGAAGACCAGATTCTCGGTTAATTGTAAATGCTAATTTAGGTTGATCGAGTCGTAGAGCACCATCATCAAAACGCTGCTTTCGTAAATTCATAGCAACCTAGTAATGAGTAGAGAATAAGGACTGTATAACATCCGTAAATGTTTTCTAATTTGTTACAAAGGTGTTCAAAATCCAAAATCAAAGTATTACAGGAGCTAGATAGTCACCAAACACAACAAACAAGTAAAGAGACCCCTGATAGGTTAGAAAGCAGGATGATAGGGATGGGTAGCCAATGGGAGGCAGTCATGTATTCATGCAGATTATGTAAACAAGTAAAGAGCCCCCTGATAGGTTAGAAAGCAGGATGATAGGGATGGGTAGCCAATGGGAGGCAGTCATGTATTCATGCAGATTATGTAAACAAGTAAGGAACCCACTGATAGGTTAGAAGGTAAGATGATAGAAACGGGTAGCCAGCAATAGGAGGAGGTCTTGTATTCTTTACCTTATGCAGATTAAGTACACCCTGTACAATATCCGATATATTATATCTTGGTATGATGTCTGGTAATTCGTCAGTGTTCCATATTCTGTCTGGTTCTTCAATGATTCCCTGTGCATGCTGGTAAGTCATCTTCACACATGAACTTATTACACTCCGTCCAATCCATTCATCCAAAATCTATAAAAAAAAAAAAAAATTATATATATATATACATTTAATGCAGGGTTCCTTGAAACTGTTGTTTGTTAGAGATACACTGCACACTTATACCATATATAATTCATGCAGGGTTCTTTGAAACTGTCGTTTCTCAGAGATACACTGCACACTTATATCATATACAATTAATACAGGTTCCCTTGAAACTATCGTTTCTTAGAGATACACTGCACACTTATATCATATACAATTAATACAGGGTCCCTTGAAACTGTACTTGTTAGAGATGCACTGTATACATGTACTTATACTACAAATAATACACACTTACCTTTCCTTCCTCACTTATTTTCCAGATGACACTGAATGTCAAGCGGTCTTCGGCAGGATTCAAACTACAGAGTTGTTCACACAGTAACCGTGGTAACATGGGAATAACCTAACAAATGTAACAGAATTCTCATAAAAGACCTTGAACTTGCTTGATAATCTTCTCCAAAACCGTCCGAGGTGTCCAATACGGTATTTGCTCTATTAGAAGCACATCTCCAATATAGGCGGCATGTCAGACAAAAAATTGCATTTCCGTGGTACAGGTATTATAAATATTCGTACTTCAAACTCATACTGACACATTTATGTTAATTTTTTAACCCCTCCACCTTTTAACTTTGACCACGAAAGCCAATATGAAATTATGTCTATTTTGTCCAAAATAATGCAAATGCAAAAAAATATGTGAACATTTTTTAAGGTAAAAATTATGACTTTCGATAGGTTAAAATGTTAGTTAGGCACGCACATACAGTAACCCATTCATCAAAATTCACTGATCATGTTTTAACACATAGTAGCCAATATGAATGGTATATTCAGGCGATGTGTTAATTAGCCAGACGTACCGTTAAAGTTCTAATAAAAAAAATGACCATGCCCATTTAGTGATTGCAATATGTACGTAATAGAAACCGCACCCCGAACTTGAGCTTTTGATCCCAATTTTTAAATTGATACATTGTAATATAAACCGCGGTTTATAATAGGACTTTAACGGTAGGTGTTCATGTGCATCAGTAAGATTAATAATTACCTTCTGTACTAAGTAGACACTGGTAGCTCTGAAAGATGCCACACTGTCAAGTTCAGTGCCTTCCTGCAGGAAATAACTGACATCAGCGATATGAACACCGATCTCATAGTTACCTGAAAGATGAAATATACATAGCAGTGTCATCAAAAGAACGCAAATATTCAAGACTCCTTCCATCAAATCATTCATCTAAACTCAGTAAGACTATGATGCATAATAATGATAATGCATAGCATATTGCATTGCCTAGTAAAATCACCAATTCATTCCAGAAACTTGTACCAGTATATCTAATTGAAAATAGAGATAATATAAATAAAATGAAAGAAATACCCCCTCCGGTAATCAAAAGTATTGCACGTCTTGTAAATAGATGCTTCACAACACAAAATAAATAATAGTTGTATAATTTTTCCTTTGATGTTATTAGTACATGTATTACTTTTTGGTATTTCTTACCTACATGTATATATGTAGTTTTTCTAGAGATGCAATAAAATGTTACTGTTACTATTCTGGTGATTGAGTGATCGTTTCACATGAGGCAATTTTTGCATCAATGCATCAATAAACATCAATAGATTGCATCAACAAGTTACCTAGGTGTAGAATATAATTTCTTCACCAAGAAGGGTCAGGGAACAACACCTAAATACAAGTCATTGTTAAAGTCCCCATTTGTAGACACCAGAAATATATATGACCTGATGGGTGATGTGTAAAATTTAAAACTTGATTGTTCAGGCTTGTAGAAGATATGGCTCTGTGAAATTGTATTTGTTTAAATGACCACTATGCAGACAACCATTTAGGATTTGATGGTAACAAAAATGTATGTGAAGTCTGATTTGATATGATATCTGATGTAAGTATGAAATTGGAAATTGATTGAATATACGGAACAGGAACTGAATTCTTTAAAACAAAATGGCCACCAGTCAGCCATTTTGAACCCAATCTGTATCAAATCCCATTATGTTCAAAGTACGTACCAAGTTTAAACAAAATTTGTCCATGTACGACTGAGGTCTGGTTCCGGATTGATGAAAATGTGTGATTATATAATGCATTTTTAGCCTTAAGAATAACTGCCGTTTGGCCATCTTGAATCAGATCATAAAACAAATGCATGTACAAATGTATTAAAAAATGTCTGAGTGATGTAAGTGTAAAGTTTGAACTTGATCGGCCAAAGCATGTGCAAGATATGGCTGGATATAGATAGACTGGTGCACACACACACACACACGCACGCACGCACGCACGCACGCACGCACACACGCACGGAGTTCAATCGATTCGTTATGTACAATTTAGTACATACCATCACCAAGCGGTTTGCAGTGTAAAGCATCGTCTAAATCGCGGGCTGTCGCTGGATCAATCGTAAAAATGCACTCTTGCCTCAAATCGCGTCGTAATTC